AAAAAAAAAACTGAATTTTTTTTCATGCCTAGCTTACACGCATGCACCAGCTGGTGACCTTCGACGAGCTCAGTATTAATGTCAACACCACAGGAACCAGGAACAAGTTCAATGCTTGTTGCAGCTAGCAGAGTTGCAGTCTCTTAACTGTCCAGCATTGTTTTAGAATGGACGTCAGCCTCCTACATGGAAAAGGATTCAGTTGTGGGACAACAAACTGAGGACTACAGGTAGTCTGTTGCGTGTAAAATCTCCTCGAAAGAAACGGACCTCTGAAGAAAATATTTATCTCATTGGAAAGGCATTCCAGCAAAGTCTGCCCAAATCAATTCATTGTGCTAGCTTGCAATTACAAATTCCACGTTCAACAGTGCACGGTATGCTAAACAGAAGGCTCTGCCTAAGAATCATTCAAATGAATCATACACTAAAACCCAGTGAACAAGTTTCATGCACAAACTTCGCTGTGGACACGATAGAAAGAATTGACACATCACCAAATTTCCTCCACCAAGTGTGCTTCTTGTACGAGGTGATGTTGCATGTCAGTGGAGTTGTAAACAGGTACAGCTGGAGGATTTGGGGCAGTCAGAATCCACATGTCACATGTGAGTTGGAGAGAGGCAGCCCTGAAGTGAATGTGTTGGCTGGCTTAATACACGAGAAATTGATTGGACTGTGTTTCTTTTCAGAAAAGACTGTGACCAGACTTTCATATTTTGATATGCTGGAGCTGTATGCGCTGCCCAAATTACAATCTCAAACTATCCTCCAATAAGATGGGGTGCTGCCACATTTCTCCCACAGTGTTAGGAATCACTTGGACAGAGAGATGGCTAGGAGATGGATCGGCAGAGGTGGACCAATCGCTTTGCCTCCTAGGTTGCCAGATTTAACACTGTTGGATTTTTTCTTGTAGGGTTATGTCTACTAGGTTAATATCAACAACCTTTGACACCTGAAAGCCCGCATAAGGGACACTGTGGCTATTGTAACACCAAGCATGCTTCAGGCAATGTGGAATGAGGTCAAAAATCATCTGGTTATTTGTCATGCCACAAAGAAGCCCCCATTGAAATTTATTGGGAAAGTTATATACTCAGAAAAAAATACTTTGATAGTTTCCCTTTATAATGTGTATATAACTCATAAATGTGTATAATAAATGCTTTCTGAGATATAATTATTTTTTTTATACTTCTCATCTGGATACTCTGTGTAATCAAACAAAACAAAAAGAAAGACAAATGCAAGAGAAAAGCAAAAATGGGCAACATTTACATACTCAGAAATCTACATCATAACTATCACAAAGCTATTTCAAAACACAAATATAAAAGTTTCCTTCAGAACAAGCACAGTTGGAAACATATGTAAAACACATCCATGGTGTATATATTGTCACGTGTTGGGTATGTAACACGACAAATAACTTCACGCTGTTCTGGATCTTAGCGAATTTATTGCACACTCGCTCTTACATTTACGCAATTTACAGTTCCACAATTACTGCAATCAGCAGTATCACAATTACTTCACCTGCTTCCATTCACTCCGACGAATGCTAGACTGCAACTGACTGGTTACTCTCTCTCACTGACAAATACTCCTGTTATGTAGCTTCCACACTGACAACACAGAAAATAGTTACGTGATAGCTTTCACTGTTGTATGATGTCATGTTTACCGATTGCCTAGCAACAGTCGCTGCATGGGCTCCCCTGTTGCATGATGCTATGTTCACAAAGGCATTGCTGGGCAACGCCGCGTAGCAACCAGCGCGCTTCGGCTCGGCTCGGCATGGACAAACACCGCTTTCCTTACTGTTACGTAACCTTGTTTCAACTATTGCATAACATGGCAACCAACCGTTTATCAAGGGTCTGTCTTTGTGGTAACTCGTTCCACCCCCCATTGCCCAGCAATTGTTTGACATGTCACAATATATATATTGACATGCTCAGATTGTCAAAAATCATGCATTGGACAGGCATGACATACCTTATGAAAGAGATACAGTGAAGACATACAAAATGTAAGATAAAACAAGGAGGATTTGGGATTTCTACACATATGCTTAGAAATATATACCATTATGGCAGAGTAGAGGATATTATTGAAAGAAATTGACAATGCTGGAAGGGATCAGGTTATGAATATAAAAGAGAACTTTTACATTTGTAAATATAAATTCTGTAACAAGTTAATAGATAACAAAAACCCAGTAAAAATAATCATAAAAAACAATCTCTTTGAAATAGCCATAGCATATACAGACACATATGGCCAAGGTTAGCCATTACCACAACTGACAGCTAACTTTAACAATATACGTATATGAAACACAACAGGATGCACACTGTGAAGATATGCAGACATACCCTCATAAACACTGTGTGCATGCATACAAGGAATTTGCGGATCCATAATAGCACAAACATTCAATACACCATGGCACATCCCACACGCTATCACGTATTTCACCTGATTACACACAGTTACACACCACAGGTATGGCACATGAATGATTACTCTTGATTAATAATGTTTCAAGAAAAAGAGATACAGACCTAAAAAATTCTTGCATTATATTTGCAGATGGACATTGGACCAACAACAGCAATAACAGCAATCTACATATAAGGTATTCTATGTAACCAAGAGTAGAAAAGTAAGACTGTTATGTTTCTGTGCTTCCACAGAAATACTTTAATTTATTTTAACTAATACTAATGACCTTTAACAAACACACCTTATTTTAATTGCATTCACGTTTTAGTCTCGATTCTGAATGCTTGCTGAAATCCCCTTATGAAGACTTATGTTCAAATACACGTGTAAAATATTTCTTTGTAGTGTTGTCTAGGCCTTTCGTGATGGCCTGTAGATGCCAAAACATGTAAAGGGAGACTTTTTTATTCTTGTATTAAATTTGTTACATTTATTATATGAGGGGCGTTCAAGTTCTAAGGTCTCCAATTTTTTTTCTCATGACTGGGAGCAGATAGACACATGCGGATTAGTTTAAT